GTCTTCGACTCCTTCTTCAGATGCTGGTGAATCTGATGGCGTCGCTTCTGGGTTCTCCATGGATGAGTAGGGCATCAGGAAGGACGATAGTCCTCGAGAAGAAGACTTGGCGAACCACCAAGAATCGACATCCTTGGTTAGACTTGGGGACGAAGTAGCTACGCCCATTCCGTAGCTACCTGGACCTTCGTAGTAGTGACAAGAAGAACAAGACTTATCAGGATTCAAGTCTGCTCCGTTTTTACTGCTGGACTGTTGCCGTTCGGTTGGAGAACCTGAAGTAGGGATGACCGAAGAGGAAATCCCTTGGTCTGAGGTCACGTTGCTTCCAACTGCTGGAGATGTTCTGGAGAATCCATCGGAATTCATTTTCGAAGGTGTGGCGGATTCCCGCACTTGCCAGACGGCGGTTGTTGCCGAAGAAGGCTCCACAAATCGCCCAAACCTTTTAGAAGGGAACGTAGATAAGGACACGAGGTTCCTGGGAGTGACCGAAGACCCAAAGTCACTCTTCGTCGTCGATTTTAAATCTAGGATTCTAGGGGTTTTCCTAAACTCCAAAAACGAAGTCCCGAGGACGGAAGAACCATCCGCTCCTCTTCGTCCACGATGCGCAACTGCACCATCTTCACCACCTCCAGGATCATCCTCAACAACTCCACCCTCTCGAAGACGTCGCAGACTGGTCCCTCTCCTCCATAGATCACTCCTCTTCGACGACTCCAAAAAAACATCCATTTCATCCTCTTCAACAGACATCAGTCTCCGAGTACAAGGATAAAAATCCACATTCTTCCCTTCCACGTGTTCATCTATTCTCATCCGTAGCAAGACGACGTGGTCCAGGCTGACGTTCACCAACACCTGCTCTTCTCTCCTCTTACCATCAACCTCTCCTCCTTCTGGTATCATAACTTCGGACCAGGGTTCCAGATGATGGATTCGTCTCGTTTCGATGTATCTCCCTGGGCTCACCAAGGGGAACATTTCTCCAGGAGGCCTCAGAAGGTACCTACCCAGGTTGAGCCTGTCCAGGTTCATGTCGGCCGCCCCGTCAGGACCCTCCTGGACGTCGAGTCCTGCTCGCCTTGGAGGGTGTCTTTCCTGGCACCCTTTTCTTCTCTTATACCTAGTGTTAGACTGTTCTGATGATAGTGTACTGACGATGGGGTACTCACGCGAGTCCGCGGTGCAACTTCGCTGCGACCTCGAGTCCGAGTTCTCCATTTTCAGGGACGCGTCTCTTCCGGTCCTGGACCGGAAGAGGGACACTTTTTGCTCCTCCTTCACAGAGACCGATGTGACGTTGAGCGGCAAACGTGGGGCCTCCTTGTCCGATCCTCTTGCCACGCACATCACGGCATAAAACAGAGCGATGAGGATAATTCGCATAGCGTCATACTTTGACCAGTCTCAGCCGACGTCTCGACGTCCGACGTCGCGCGAGGGGTCGCTCACGAAACGCGCAATTGGCATCGTCCTCGGAGAAGTCCGAGAAATCCGGAAACGGCTGAGAAAGCTTGATGGTTGGCCGGCCGGAGAAAGAGATGACGACCGAAAGTTGACGGCTGTCCTCGAATCTTGATCTGGACCACTCGATGCGACTCGTTTTTAAGCTTGGTCTCAGAAATTACAATTAAAGGACTCCTTAGAAAAGCCTCGAGTCGACACTCTTCTCCCTTCGTTTCCCTTTAAATTACCGAAGACTCTAACTTTTATTAATTAACTTGTACGGAACTGCGCTTCTTATTGAATTACCGTCTTGACTTTTAAAGCAATGGCTTCGCGAGTACGTACATGTACGTACGGAGATCTGTATATTTGGCGCGAAACTCTACCGAGTTTCCTGATCTGCGATTAACTTGTACGAATGGGCGCTTTTTATTGAAATACCGGCTGGGCCTTTTAAAGCAATGTATGATATAACATCTGTATAATTTACATTTAAACCGGCGTCGCTTTTATCTTAAACTCGAAAGTCGCGTCTTCGGCGTTAAATCCCAAAATGGAGGAGTTTTGCTTCCCTTCGTCTTCGTTAACTTTATTTCTGCATGTTGGAACGTTGGTCGCGGTCATTTTTTTACTGCCAACGCCATCCCGGTCTGTAAATAGGGATGAATTACATTATTAGGGAATAATACGAAGGCGTGATAAATTTTTTTCAGAAAATATGGAGCATGTTATTACGAGGGGTGTATACTGTCGTTTGGTCGAGGTTTAGAGAATGCCTCAGAAAATTCCCAAAACTGCTCAGAAATGTGGGCTTCACGGAAGTGACGTTCTCTTTGGTTAATCCTTCCACAATTTCGCCTCCTGCTTTTGGTTTGAATTTTTTACCAGGTGCTCTCACGTCCGTTTCCGAATTATTCAAGTGAAGGTCTTTCCCTTGCATTCTTTTAATCCTCCACTTTGAAGATGGGAAAGACCCGTAATTCTGATTATTAAGACCCGAGTTTTCCAACTTGAGTTTAATGCCTTCTGTGACAAGCTCGGGCCATACTCGATAAGCTAAAAAAAATTGTCACAAGATTTATCCCTAAGTCTAATTAAAATTTAATTTCACTCTTCTGAAATTTTTCGTGAATTAATTATTATACCTCCGTATTTGACAGTGTATCCTGCGATGTCGGAGTCTCTGAACAGCTTTTCAAAATCCTCCGCAAAATCTCGTGCTGGACTGGGTCGACTTTTCGAAATTTTGCCACGAAGAGGTTTTGTCTTTGCCAATTTACCGGGATGGGAAAGTTTCCTCGATTTTCCTCCGTGAGACGTTTTGGCGGATTTCCCTTTATTGAAGGCTTTTGACGACTTTCCAGGGTGAGATGCTTTCCCTACTTTTCCTTTCTTTAAGGCCGTCGATTTCGCTAATTTGCCATCGTGATCCTTATGATTAAGTCCGTGCTTCTTCATCGCTTTCGCAGCTTTTTTCTTGCTCTTCCGCTTCACTTTACGTTTGGATTGGATCGAGGAGTTCCTCCTACTTAAATTTTTCCTCTTCATTTTCCTCCTTATCTCGGCATGCTGTTCCTTAAGAAAATTCTCAGACGGCATTTTCCTTTTGCAAGGTAGCGATCGTCTCGACAAGGACCGAGCCTCACCTGAAACAGAATTCCGCAGGTAATAAAACACTTCCAATCTACAAGACTCACTCCGAATGTTCAGAAAAAGAAGAAATAGGAAATGCAGGGCGATCGAAGCGAGGAAAATAGGAAAACCGAGGAGGAAATTTAATTCGATCCCAAGTAAATAAGGAACGCCTCGGAAAGGACCTCGAGTATTTACTCCCATTAAGGAGTAGCTAAATATTTATCCACGAGTGAACCAGAATAGAAGTGTTAATGGAAACCAAATGCATAGAACCAGCTTCTTAGCCTAAAACTACAATAATAAGCTACAATCGCAATTATAGAAAATTTGTCCCATACTCCGCAAAAAAATGAAGTCTGCTTCGCCGCGCAAAGAAAATACAAGCATCTTAAATTATCCTTCATTTAGTTTCCAGAATCGCCCTAGACGACGCCGACGACGGCGTCTACAAATCTTTCAGCATCCTTTCAAGGACCTTTCCGTCCGCCGATGGCACTGATGGCCTTTTCCGTTCTTCTTCCGCTTCGCCGCCGCAGGGTCGTAGAGAACTTCCGTTTTCTCCTCGATCTCCTCTATCAATTCGAACTTCTGCTCCATTAAATCGATCTTCGGCGTTGTAAAGGCAATCGGAAGGCCGTAAGGGTCGCTTGTTGAGGATTCTCCTACTTCCGGCATTTCGTTTCTTCCTTCTACTTCCGGTCTCCGCCGTCGTCGCCGTCGTCGTCGGTTCCACGAATCCTCAACGGATTCGCCAGCTGTAACGAGATATCTGACACTTTTTCTAATTATCTCGAGACTACATCATTTAAATATCATAATCACAAATCATTTAAAAATTTTCATTTGAACGAATCATTTGAAAATTTAATATAAATCACAATTGAATTGTAGCAATAACATCTAAGCTTAGGTTTTAGCTTTCGGCACTTGATGGACGTGGTGAACTAACGTGGAGAAAACGCGATTTGGTTGGATTCTCGAAGCGCTAATGCGTGGGGAATGTCGATTGCTTTTTCCTGGTCATTGTACTCTTCGTTGTGTTCCTCTCGGGCAGGAAATTCGCCATTTTCCAACCCCTTCGTGACGACGATTCCGCAGGAAAACGTCGAGAGGGTGACGCTCCACAAAGAGAGACGCATGTCGACGTCCTTTACATGTCACCGACGAGTTGGTGAAAATTCGTGCAACATTCTCCTGCAATATATTAGGGAATAAATTGGCGCGATTTATGGGAACGTAAATAGTAGTAAAAAGGTTAAAAAGAAGAAACGATCTGGACAAATCGAGCGCCGCGCTTTGGGTTGATCGTTACGCCATCTTGAAAGGAATCGCCCGAACTTCCCAAGAGTTCCACTTCCAAAATCGAAAAATCAAATAAATTATTGGTAGGGTCTTTTTTATTGCTATTTTTTTGTTCTTTTACGCAAGAAGATAAACCGTAGAACAAGACAATCGAATCGCATCGGCCGAGTTTACAATCCTCGAAAGGAGCTAGGATTAATTCTCCATTCGATCTCGGCCGTTTCAAGTAATTTATTTACGTACGCCTATAAAACCTCTCCGTTTATCTACTTCTTTACTTAGCCCAGTTGCAACGACAACGGGCACGAGCAAATAAAACGGATCAAATAAATAAGAGGATCGGACAGCAATTTTCCTCGGGAAATATTTACCGAGTCTATAAGAGGACTCGTTAAAATCGAGAGGTCGGTTTGTCGTCGCAGGTTCCTTCGGAAATCTTCTGAAGAAATGACAGAAAGTGCATAAACAATGTTACTAAAAAACGAGCCAAACAAGAGAAGCAATAAAATGATATCATTCGCCCTGGATTTTCTATTCCGCCGTATTTTCAGGAAATAAAAAGACGCCTGATTTTATGTTAATTCGGAGATGACATTTTCTGATCTGTAGGCATGAATTACAACGGGTCCAGGAAATGTACCTTGGCAGAGGAATATTTCTGCATATACTTTCTTTCTACCTGTTCCAAAGCACAGGTCTGCTCGCCGACAATGCGCAAAATCCAACAGGAAGCTCCTGCTGATAAAAGGAAGCGCGCCGATAAGGATTCCATTCGAGTTTGTTTGCCCCTCGTCGAAAGGAGGTCTCGTTTTCCCAAAGTTCAAAATCCCTTGATAACAGGCAAAGAAATTACATCAACTCCTGCAAACTCCTTCACCTGTTAATTTCATAGATTGATAAAAAAAATATATATATACATAATCATCCCCGATTGTTATAGTGCGCGGACAATGAAAATTACTTTTATTGTGGTTCTCTTAACGGGCTTTTGCAAGAGCGAGTTTCTTTCACTCTTTGAGACAATAAACGATCAATTGCTTCGAATTAACAGAGTGGAGGCGTTTTTACAGTGGCAAGGTGCCACGGGTATCCAGATCTCGAGTTTTCGGAGCCAATGGAGGAACGACTGGTGCTCAAAATTTGAAATATTGAAAACGAAAAGTATCTTTCCCTCGCGAGAAGAAAGAATGATTGACTTATTATGCAGAGGGCCGAAATACTCCCCGAGAGAAGCGAGGTAAGAATTAATTAACACCCTTAATTCAGGCAGGATAATTGAAACCAAGATCTATTTCTTAGAACAATCCTCCTATTAATCGCAAGCTTCCTCCACGTTACATTATGCTGAGCTTCCAGAACCATTTCGATCATTTCCGAGAAGATCTCGAGGATCTATCGCCTCGGAAAAGTCTGCAGCACTTCTTCGCCTCGTAAGATCTGCTTCGATGGAGAGGACCAACTCGAGACTATAATGTCAACATCCAGGTGGGCAAATAAAAACTAAAATTCATATCACATTTTTCATCGCAAACGTTCAAATCTACAGAATTACACTTAAAATTACTCAGAAACGAAACGGAACGGCTTTTGGCTTGGACTTCCTGGCGCGATCGAACGAAGCCGATGAAGAATCTCTTCCACATCTTATTGACTCTTCGAAATCAAGGAGCTAGAAATAATGGTAGGATAGAAAAAATAGCGCTACGAAGTGTAACGTACAAAAAAATTCCTAATCGTCATTTAAATCTTTAATTTAATTATTTCGATACCTTAATAAGGATACAGCGACATCGGTGAGTGCTGGCGAGAAGAGTTGGGAATCCCAGATCTCGAGACATCAATGGAGAGACTTTACCTTCTAATTAAACCTCTTTACTCATTACTGCATGCAGTGGTGAGATTTCACCTGGGTCGAACTTACCCTGGGATTGTCGAGTCCAAGAAACCGATTCCTGCTCACCTGCTAGGTAAATTCTGCATCAGACATCCACCGTGCCGTCCATTTAATTAAACTATCAGGCAGAGATGAGATTGCTTCAAATTGATCTCTCGAGCGAGTGGTTGCGATTTTTTTCAGAAGAGATACGCATTTTTATGCCTTTTTTGACGTTTCCAAACGTTTCTAGGTTTTCTAGGTATTATCAGGTGTGACTTATTTCATATCCTTTTTCAGGTGATCTTCATTCTCAAAACTGGGAATCCCTGATCGGTTTACTTCTACCGAAGGAATTGTCCAATCTCGTAGACTTGAAAGCTCGGAAGAGTCATAATTTCACGGTGCATGATTTATTGAGGATTTCCGAAAATTTCTACACGTCTCTGGGCTTCCCCTCGATGACTGAAGAATTTTGGAAAAATTCCATTTTCGAGGGGAACACCCGAGGCAGGAATCGGTGTCACGGAGCTGCGATTAACATGTTCAATCCTGGAGATTTTAGGATATTTGCATGTCTCGAGGTGTCCATCGAAGCTTTCCGGTTAATTCATCACGAAATGGGCCATGTTCAGTACTACATGGCCTACGAGGATCAGCCGGCGATATTTCGAGTAAGCTTATAAAATTTGTAACTCGCTCTTAAGATATTTAAATAGTACTCCAAGACTCAAGAATTTCAGGACGGAGCCAGCACAGCTTTCCACGAAGCAATAGGCGACGCTGTGATGACCGGAGTAATGGCACCAAGAAATATTAAACGTTTTGGCCTCCTGCGAGATCATCGCTCCAGAGAAACAATAGAAAACTGGTTCGGTCCTTCATTAAAAGAGGACAATTTAACCGGTCCCTTGGACCTAGTGATTTTGTTAAGACACGCGCTATCGAAGCTACCGCAACTGCCGTACAGTATGGCGATAGAGAAGTGGAGATGGGGCGTCTTCTCCGAGGAAATTAAACCCACAGAATACAACAGAGCATGGTGGGAGATAAACCGAAAATACATGGGAGTCGAGCCAGGTACAACTAGAAACGAAGAATCCCTCGACGCCGCCGCGAAACTCCACGTCGCAGACGGTACACCTTACGCCAGGTAAGAACGTAACGTTTAAGCTTCCCAAAATCTGCCAAAGGTTCAATCCCTCTTCAAGAAAGTTTCAATTACTATTGGATAGGTACTTCCTGGGCCAGATTCTGCAGTTTCAGCTCTTCGAGAGCATGTGCAACGCAACGCGGGTAAAAAGGTCCTCGCCACTGCACCGATGCGACATCTACCGTTCTAAGGAAGCAGGAGACAGACTCAGGTGAATCGGCAAGGTTTCGTTTATCCAAAGAACCGTCTAAAATTATAAAACTCGGATTTCCATTCTTCGCTTTCCCTTAGGTCGCCGATGAAGCTTGGAAGAAGCACGAACTGGCGTTACATTTTGCGGATGATGACAGGATCAACCGAGTACAGAGCCGAGCCATTGTTGCGGTACTACCAGCCCTTGCGAAAATGGCTGGAACATCAGATCGAGCGGCACAACATCACGCTCGGTTGGGAATAAAGTATCGCTTAATCCCTTCTTCTCCACTCGAGGAATTCATTTCACCCTCCGAAGTCCTTCCTCTGCCGAGACCCCAAGCCTGCGCTGGTGAACAAGTCGAATTCCTCGCGACCGAAGAGAGCACCGCGAACATCGTCCAGCAGTATCGTCTCAGGGTACCTGAAAGTTAAAAACGAAAAGGGTTAAAGAAAGAAATCCAAGACGACCGCGTATCTATTCGATGAATTCAAGGGTACTCACTGGTTTCCCGTGGTCCTTTCATGCGCCTTTGCCAGGGACAGCCGCAAGAGATCATCCATGAAACATTGCACCGCCTGTGGACGTAGCAATGAAATTAGATTTATATAATTGACAATTTTAAGCGTTTATATACTATGTATAATTCCATGTTTATACCCTTAACATCGCGTGTCCTGCTGCAGGATAAATAACACCAGGAATGATCGTCTCCGGTGGAAGAGCCACGCCGATCTCGCTAGCAGTTTCGCAGACGAAACTGTGCATCGGCTGGAGCTTCTCTGGAAGTTCCAGGACGATCGTGTCCTCGGGATTAGGTAACGGCGAGAAGTCCAGGAGGTCTGCTCCCTTGAGGCCTGGAAATGTGATCACGAGGTGAAACTAAAACTTCTGATCTGCTTTAAACTCAAATCAAATAGGATAGATTCACTGATACCTCGACGTTTGGGCTTCTCCTCGACAACGCTGACGACGTCAACCTCGATTGCATCCTCGTCGTTGGATGGACGCCGCGAATTTTCTCCGTTCTCTTCAAGCCACTCGTCGAAGAACTTCGAGTCCGTGCACGTGGAAACAATTGTACTAGGCAGTTTCTTTGCAGTTTCATGATCTGGCTGTCCACTGGATATCGAAGATCGAGTTGGCGTGAATCCATGAAGCCTCGCCCAGATCAGGATCTCTTTGATGCTCCAGAGATTCTCCTCAGAGACCTTCTTCTTCAAAAAGGACCGTACTGTCTTAGCACGATACCACTGTAACCAAGATATTCGAAAAATAATGAACTGTCAGCATTTCTTTATATCACTATTTGCAATGTTTAATAACAAAGCAATATCGACGAAAACAGTAACAGGCTGTTTAAAATGAAAATATAGTTTAATTAACTCTTTACCTCCATTGCTCGCTGCCTTCCTATATTGTAACTAAAAAAATCTCCTTCGCTGGCGCAGGCATAGACATGCATTCGCCTGTACTCAGGATCCGAAGCATTCTCAGTAATTAGAGGTATCCTCCTAATAATGAACTTTAGCACAGAGATGGTGTCTTCTAGTCGAACTTCTTCTATCAATCTGCAAAGAATAATTGGCAGTAATAATTAAATTATTGATAATGAATAATTAGAGAACAAAAAATATTTTTAGGTTAAAAATCAAACTAACCTTATGTCTTTGTCATATAAATCCTTTTTACTTAAAATTTTGTACTTGTCTTTTCCAATAGTGACCTTCGGTTTGACAGGTTTGTTAACTCGAGTGCAATCAGAGCTATTCGACGGATTCTGCAGATCATAATATTCTTGAGTTTCAACAGAATTAGCTATTTGAAGAGCCGGTACCCAGTTAGCTCCTGCCGGTGTTCCAGAATTAGTTAGTAGGAGAGAACTGGAAGGTTTTATTTCCACAAACTTCGATGCTGCACTTGCACTCGGTACAGCGAGAACGGATTTGGCTATTCCACTTGGTTTAATGATCGAAGTACTAAAGTTGGAACGCAATGTCTGATTCATAATCGAATCGCATTTGGAGCTTCCAACGGAAGGAATAAGTTTGCCATTCTTAAATACTACTTGAATTTTCTTGCACCCTGTTGGAGCAAATGCAGGAGGTATCGAGATCTCAAGAGGCTGGAATTGCGAAGGATTTTTCAGAAGGCTTGAAGTTAGTTTTGGTACATAGGATTTCTCGATACTGCAGTTTAATTTGTGAACTTCTGAAACAGCTTCGCTACTCTGTTTACTAGTTCCCAATGGAATCAGTCTCACAAGTGTACAGTTAGAGCTATCATTATTAATCTGTGAAGAATGCGACTGCTTCTGCTGATTAATTAAAATGCTTTGAGAGTTTTCATGACTTTGTGTTTTCTCTGAACATGCCTCACTTCTTGACTGCTTGTTCAACCTGTCTGAGGGAATTTCTTCTGCAGGTGAAAGATCCGACTGGAAGGCACTTCCATGTTGAAAGTCATTTTCTCCATTGGTTGAGTCGAAAGGTATTGAATAATTATGATCGAGTAGAATATGCAGAATCGACTGCTCAGTCTTTTTCAAGTCTTCTATTTCCGATTCTGTTGCTATGAAATCTTTTATTTCAACACTTTCTGCACTACTAACAGGTTCCTCCTTCACAGATAGACAATCCGGTTCTAAATTGTTTACTGGAACGTCTTGTATACTAGATTCAGTCTCATATGTCGAGTTGGATTTATCGTTTAAATTCGAGCCCATTGAAGAAGAGGTGGTAGAAGTACTAGAAATAGGATCGATAGGATAAATCCAGACATCGACTACGGTCTCAGCACCTGTAAATTAAATCATTACTTATGCAAAAAGATCCAGCTATGGATCATTGAAGCTTAACTTATAATACATATAAAAGGCTGCATTGCATAAAACACTTACCTAGTGTCTGGAGACCGGTATATGTACGGTCTAATTTTAAATGATGTATAACATCCATTGGTTTATTGGAAGTATTTTTAAAGTGTAATTGAACTCTAATAGGGAATTCACCCCATCCTCTTCTAGTTAAATGGAAAGGAGGCGACCTATAAAAGAACATAGCAGCCATAATAAATACATAACATACACGAGTACAAAACATGCAACACTAAAAAACAAATACCTACGCTACTTCAATAATGTCATTCGGCCGATAGCTTGGATGCAGGAAAAACCTGACTTTAGATACAAAATCACCAATTCCTGGGTTTTCTTTATCGCCTCTGACATAAACCATCCACTTATGACTGACACCATCTTCTCTCCAATCTGGCGGAATCCATTTAGAGACATTTCCCACCACAACTCTTCGTCTAATCTTGTGATGAATGCCTCTCGACGGGCAAGATGGTTCAGGTAACGTACATTTGGGCGGAATGTATCGAGGGATTTTTTTTGGTTGTGGACCATTTTCCTTGACATCTTCCACAGGTTTTTCCTCCAGATCCACAAGCTGATAATGCCGCTTTCGTGAACCGTTAGTTGACGGAACCTCGGAGTTCACCTTTTCCGTACTTGGGAATGACTCTAACGGTCCTCCAAAATTATTCTCTAAGCACATAAAATCGAACTGCCTGGGTGCTTTGCCCAGTAGTTTCTTGACCGCAGGATGAATTCTCGTCTGTTCGGAAGACTCCACTCCGTTCGAGGGTAGACATTGCTTCCGATTATAAAAGTCAGTAATCACAACGTAGCGCAGTAGGTGTAAGGTTTTAAGCGCCTTATGCAAGCGATCTTGAATCAGCAAGACCTCCTTTTCTTTGCTGTCGATCTCCCTGGAGAACTCCCGCTCCACGATATCCGTTATCGTCCTTGCAGCGTTGGCACGGGCTGACACAGACCGGACAGGACACGATTATACTCGCAATATGCAGCTGGTACTTCTCAACCGGCGCTGCAAGACCATCTTAACTTTAACACTATCCAAAGACTCTCCACTACGTTACCATTCTTCTCGTGAAGCTCCTGCCGCGTGGGGTCGATTGTCGCAGGCGCTGCATAGTCAGGATCGAGCCCATCCACCGATTCCTTAGAAGTGCTCATTTAATCTCGTTTTTATTCCTTCCGCCGTGTTGAGACCACTGCACGAAAACGTATGTGTGAGGTTAGGGACTCGCGTGTCTACTTAACATTCCAATGTACTTACGGTGATTTTCTCACAACTTCGACTTGAAACTTCCCTGGCAACTCGAAAGCACAATTTTACCGTACTTCCGAAGAAATTTGACATTATGACAATGTCAATCGTGAAACTCGTCGACGGATCCGCCGAGGCAAGCCTCAGTATAACCTCAAAACTCACCGCAATTCTTTACAGCTAATCTCCCGTTTTATTCAGCATTGCAAATCACTCACCTGATTGGTTCTTTCCAGAGTATCATGTTTCGTGATTAGCCAACGACAATTCCGAATTTATTGACGGCAAATGGCGGGATTAGTTTTTCTTTGATACGCCATCCTTGCGCGGGGTAATACAAAATGTATGAGTATTGTTCGAGCATCGCCATAAATTGTAAAATTCATATAAAAATATTTAACTTGGACGTAGTTATTTATGAATGGTACAGGAAGAGGTATGTAAGATCACCATTGAACATGCAGTTCTTATATACTAGATTTTATATTTTCTAAGCAAAATCAAGTTTTAAAGAAATATATTTGCAGATTATGTACAGGTTATTTCTGATGGATAAAAATGTCTCTAATGACTGTAACAGATGTTCAGTTAGAATTCCTTAATCGCAGTTTTAACGCATGCAAAATTTATTTATTTATTAAGTAACAGAATAAATAATAACTAAACTGCATTTAATTACAACTCTGAAATATAATTTTTTCTTATGATACCGAAGGTAAACATGATTAAATATATTGAGTTCTCACAATTTGTTAGCCATTTATTATACACTTTTCATCCTATCGCTGTGAAATTTATAATATAGTGTAACTATCACAGCAGGAAGTTTCTTCCACTTTTAAATACTAATGTTGACGCTGAGTTGTGTTTACGGAATCATTATGGGAGCCACCTTGATCAATTTGAAAATGGAAAAAAATTCAAAAGTGAGCGAAGCTGCCAGTTACCCTCGGTGCTACAAGACAGTCCTTTAAGAAACTCGAAATGGATCCTACAGGCTCTACAAGATGTTCGGAACAAATTTCAGCACAGCGACGTTTTTTTCAATGGGCTGTCAAATGGTTTTACACGGAATATGTTGAAGATGTACGAACAAGAATTTACTAAAGTGTCGTTTCGCAAACTTAGTCTCATTGCAAACTATTATGTGATTTCTTTACTTCCAGACATCCACTAAGCCTGATGTTCCAACCCTGGCTTGTCTCTTGAAAGCTACAGGATTTCAATTAAGACAGTATGAAAAGCGAAACGAACATTTAGAGGATGAGAGACCAAAGATGGATAGTATTAGAATCACGATCGAATGTGGTACGTCTAATATGAAAGCGGTTTTAGAAATGAATGACGTTAAGTGTCAATGTCCTGCATCTGAGGATGCTAAGGATGGATCCTTTTGGTGTGTCAGTGGTATGGGACCTGCAGTCAGCACGGTAAGGTCTTTAATTACTGATTTTCAATAATTACAACTTAGAGTTTTATTGTTTATAGGATAGTATCAACAAAGTTGAAGAGACTGGAAGTACGTTGCTGCCTCAAGTGCCAAAAGAAATAAATGGTATCATCCGGGACATATCCTTTCGCCTCTTTAAGATGATTAACAACAAGTCAGATGTGAATCAGAATTCTGAGTCGGATTTGAATCTCTCAGCTATTGGTGATAGTACTAAATTCAAAGTTCCTGATATAAAAGATTTGGGTATTTTTCGACGTCATACTCAACCTGAATTGAATATCTCGAGGTCATTGGATGCTTTAAATACAAGAGGAAAGAAAGTTGTTAAAGTTTCACAGAATGAAAACTCTATGAAAGAACTATGTTCCAGAATGTCCTGTTCAAGGTAAACTCGAAGGATCGTAATGAACATAGGAATTCATTATATAGTGCCACCTATTAAACTTTAATCGTTAACATTTTTCTGCAAAATTTCTTTCCATAGGATGCTTCCCATACAAAGGTTGAGGCAAGTGAGAACAAATTTTCAGATATTGTTATCATTGGTTCTTCACCTTCGTTGCCGACACGTAAACCACTGTTGAAACAGGCAACATATGACATGGATGTTGATACACAGAGCATGGATAGTGAACCTCGTGCATCTCCACCAAAGATGTCTAGTTCTCCTGTGCTAAATGAGCTCTGTAACTCTTTGGACCAAATATCGATGCACAATGATGAAGAAAATGTAATTTTAGCGAAATGTTTACTAAGAGCTCATCAGAATATGGAAAAAGCTATGAAAATGTTACTAAATAGGATACCAAACTTAGATGTTTCCATTCAAGGTATCATATGTTAAGCAAAAAATGTATAATAAATAGTAGTAAAATAAGTTGCGCATATTATCCGATATTCTGTTTTTAGATTCAGACGTCTTTAACAAGCCAATGCCTTTACGCAGCTCCAGTTTCCGTGTAAGTCCAAGCGATACAGAGTCTCGTTCAGGTTCTAGTTGTTCGGTGCCAAATCAACCTACAAACAGATTATCCACTATGCAAAAACCAACACCACGTAAGAGTACCAGTGGCAATGTTCTGAAAAGTGCCGAGAAGCCCACACCAGCAACTTCAAAACTTCTCTCTTTACGTCGTAGAAGTTTTGGCAATCCTTCAACAAGTGCTTTTGCAAAATTCTCAATCCCTGCAACAAATGCTTCAAAAACTGCCAATACTTTGATGTTATCTGCCAACAAAAGCGCAAATGAAAGGGTCTTTCTCACTGCAAAGAGGCGAGTTTCACCAGAACTAAAGCCTAATCTATCACGAACTTACAATCCAGATGAAACTATAAACTTGTCACTATTAAAAGCGCCTGCTAAAGTACCCAGGGCTTTGAATGTATCGGTAAAGCCCAAGTCTTCTACTCCGGTAACAAGTGGAACACCGAGACATTCCACTGTTAGTAAACCATACGTGGGAACACCTCGTCCATCTCTTCAGATTTCCAGGTCACATGGAGAGCCTAAATCTTCAACATCGACCGGAACATCTAAACCAGCTCCCACAACTCCATCAAAGTACGGATTTCAAAAGAAGAAACCTTAAAGAGTGTTGGCTTAACGTACACTTTAAACGTTACATGTTTTACTGGATACAAACTTTTTTATTTTACTTAACATGTAAACATGTCACCGTAATTAAACGCGTTAAGTATATTCACACGAGATCTATTACATGTTTTGTGTATTTATATGAATTATTTTTAATGCATTTTGAGCTACACTGAATATTCTCCTACATTTTCCCCCACCAGACTTAGTAATTGATTTGACACCGGAACGAGGAAAAACATCGTCGGGAAAACCGGGAAAAATGTAAGGCGTAGATAACGAAGTACATACCAGTACATACGCAAAGCGACAATTAAGTGGTTCATGATAGTTCATGAAGAGCGTTCAATTCCAAGACTCGGGCAATGTCACGACGGAATTAATTCGAATCACGTGGCGTCATTGGTTACTCCGATCCCACCGTTTCTTCGTCCGCTTATATGAGAGGTGCACCGTCCAATCTCATTTGATGTACACCGCGACATCAAGTTGCGCGTTCGTCACTCAGTCAGAGAAGAGCAAAGAAACAGTTTTAATTCTTGCTGTCACGGTCGGCAATCATGTTCGCTGCAAAACGCGCTATTGTCTCCACAACTCTGTAAGTTACCTCAGCGCTTTCACTTAAATTATATCTATTAAATATTATTATGTAATTCTAACCTTCACCGCTGTGGACTAGAAATTAACGCACGAGTGTAAAGTACCTGCAGAAAATTGAATATTCGTATTTTAAATAAGGAAAAATGCATCAGCGTGTTACATTGCATAGAGATGTTATCGATTAAATATCGTGTGATGACAAAATACACTGCCGATGATTTAAACAGAGGGACTCCGTGCTGTGGATTACTAGCTGCTGATCAAACGGATTAAATTTAGGTTTTCTTTTACAGACGCTGCAAGGATGTCGCTGCGAGGCAGAAACATACCCTACCGGAGCTACCTTATGATTATAAGGCACTGGAGCCGATAATCTGTGCGGAAATTATGCAGCTCCATCACTCAAAGCATCATGCTACTTATGTCAACAATCTCAATGTTGCGGAGGAGAAATTAAAGGATGCCGTTGCAAAAGGGGATGTCAGTACACAGGTCGCTCTTCAGGGTGCGATCAAGTTCAATGGAGGTGGTCATCTCAATCACTCCATCTTCTGGAAAAATTTGTCTCCCAGCTCGAGCAAGCCCAGTGGTAGGAATTTCTCATGTACTAGTGCACCATCAATTTCTGTGATTCCTGAAAGTTATTTTACTTGCTAATTAAAAGCCCTACTTTGTAAGTTCCAGATAATTGAAGATACTTATTTGAGTTGCTTTACAGATGCTCTGAGCAAACAGATCCAGAAAGATTTCAATGACTTCGAAACATTCAAGAAGCGCCTTTCCGAAGCTACCATAGCGATCCAAGGTTCTGGTTGGGGCTGGTTGGGATACAACCCAACATACAAGAGACTCGAAATCAAAACTTGTGGTAATCAGGATCCACTCCAAGCAACGACAGGGCTGGTACCTCTGTTTGGTATCGATGTTTGGGAACATGCTTACTATCTTCAGTACAAGAACGTACGACCGGACTATGTAAAGGCTATATTTGACATCGCTAACTGGGAAGACGTCAGCAACCGTTTCAAGGAAGCCTCAGGTTGCTAGACAATCGTTTCCACATTTGACTAATAGTCACTAGTGCTAATCAATCAAGATTGGACAGTAAGCTACGTAGACACTATCAATGTGCAAGATTATTAATTCACAAACGTCTTTTTCTATTACAATGTCTGTGATTTCGTAAAAGCGTCTTTTAGCATCGTTGAAACTACTCTGACTGTACTACGAAAAAGGTGCATATATGCTTTATTATTATATCTAATCTTGCATTATTCAGTGTAAGTGAGCCCGAAAAGTGTTACACCCAATTCCCCGATTATTTGCGCCATTTCGTTTCACTCTTTCTTCGAATACTGCGTTTCTGCGTCGAAGAAAGTGAACTAAAAGATACGATTAAAAAATCGCTACCGTGCAAAGTCGTCACCTTCAACGTATACAAATACTCCACTCGAGCAACAGGAATTATCGCAAGGAGAGGCGATAAAAACCTGAAAATAGCTTATTTATTTCTCAAATTGCTCGTAACTTTTTCGTCCAGTATTTTTAAATATTCAACCGCCTTTAATATTCGCGGCTAAACGGTTCAGTTCCTATTCCTCTTTCTCGCCCTTCTGCGCCTACGCAGTAGACGCGGGAAATTTGATTAGGAAGTCCGCGTCTTGAAAACTGATCTCCGACAAAAACATTAATTCCATTCGCAATGCGCAAATTATTGCGATGTGGAGCTATGACCAGTTGACCGCGGGTTATTTATACTTCGGATTTCCCTGATACTACGCGTCAGAGTTTAAAGAGGTACAGGATAAAAAATGAAAAAGAGAGGCGGCGTCGTTGATGGAGTGTGGAAGGGAGGCCGGAACTACGGGACGCAAACCAATATGGCCGCTGCGTCCCAGCTGTTTTCCTGGTCACCCCGTCTATCTGGTGAGTCAAGAGGTTACTTGGGTGTTTAGCACGATTATTCGGTCAAGCTATTTGTTAATCGTTATCTTTTAGTTGCGTTTTACGCTTTCGTCGGACACGATACTGCCTTGACCTCGAGCAATTGAAGGTGGCCTTGCGCACTCTTGTGTGCCTCTTGACGGATCACTCGGTTCCCGAACTTATCACTCCTTTGGCCGCAGGAGTCCTGCTGTTATCACGGGCTAAAAGAACAAGAAATTAGAGATACATTCGCACCCTCATTGACTGATACCGAAGACTTTGGAAGATCTGATTACGCTAAATTCGGCGAATTATGAACAACGGGAGTCGACCAGGGCAGCCCCTCTAGAGGGTGTTCCTGCCATCCATTGAAATTATTTAATCATTACCGTAGTACTCGGTAATAATTATCCTGCATGGATTTGAAAATTGGTTTTCACAGGAATGAGATTCTATCTCTAAATTTATCATATATGATACAGAAACTTATGCGAATTAATCGCTTATAAGAGGCGTGTAAATTCTCGCGGTTCCTTTGTTCATGAATTATCTTTAATCAACTTTATTACTTGACTAGGATGATTTTTTTTTTTTCAATGAATCTAGAGAGGGCTATATAGATACTTAACAAATTTTCTTTATGCCGAAATACGTTTAATTTCAGGGTAGTTTCGCTTGTATTGTTGCTTTAATTCTGTAGCATCTTTTATTGAGAATTTTCAAAATGGTGGTTGCGAATGGGATCACTCGAATGTAATTTTTTATGCACGCATTTTATAGGCTAAGTAGATTATTTCAAAGGAAAGCGTTGCTCCGATATTCTTCTATGGCTGTGATAATACACTTTATTATATGCCAGCTACTCGATCGCAAGAAGGCTTTCAGCGTGGTTCCCGAAAAGCTTGTAAAAGCGATGAAACGTGTAATTGGGACGAGGCTCTTCGGAGTCTCTCGATTCATAAAAAGGGCATTGTGCCGCGATTTTATGAATATTTTCTGAATGGCGCTAAAATTGGGACGCGATATCGGATCCCGCGACACCATTTGATCCGAAACCGTCTGGGAACTTGGGGTTCAATTTTCGGTATTGCAGACATCTTGATGTAGAAAATGCTGGCATTGGGAAATGAAGGGGTAATGCCCGCTGAATGGCTTTACTTTCGCATAATTAAAAAGGAGAAAAGAATTTCTAGGGTTTGGAAGGTATTGAGTTTCTCGCCATTTTTAAGAATGGAGGGAAAAAAGTAATTCCTGGAGCGTGGCCTCTCTTTCTCTTTCGCTTTAATGCGAAGTTGTGTACAAATATATGCCGGAGTCTATCGATTTTGCGCTGCAGAAGTGTAAAGCAAAGCATGGGGATGTGTTAAAGAAGATACATAGATGAAACGCTATCACTCCACTCTATTCTAGTTAGTATGAGATCAGCGGGGAAAACCGCCATTCTGTTCCTGTTAGTGTGAGGTCAACAAGGAAAATCGCTCCAATATTTCGCAATTTAACTAGAATACGAGGAAATGTTTACCAAACGCTCTGGGCTTTAAGTATATAGACCGGGGAAATTCTGTAGCCTACAAAACCCAGGAAATATGATTCAGTATTTTCATCGCGAGGGCATGAATTGCGTCTCGTGATGTGAATAAGAATGTTACCTTGTAAAAATTGTTCTTTTATTTTTTATTATGCCGCAATATGTCACGAAAATCAAAGGTTCAAGTGCCTTCTCTTGGAGTAATGAAAGAAATTTCAAGACGCTGATAAAATGTACACACATGTCTGTAGGTGTGTTTATTCAACGCTGTGCATGTACAAAAACATTCAATGAACCCGTAAATGGTGTAATGACGTCCATTCATGCTCGAAACTAATTAAATGCATTATTTATCGACACGTCATGTCGACGAAGGAAGAAGTTCTGCCTCGTGAAGAAATTCCTTTGTTCGTGCACTTTCTGCCCAGCGCCCTCTACATCATCCGGTTACCGACGCAATGCCGTTCGTACCGACGTGGAATGTCGGGGACGTGAGTAGGGTCGATCGATCGTCATTTTCCCTCGAAATATTTCCTACGAGCCTTGATTTATGTCGCCAGAAGCTCATAGAACGATCCTTAATATGATTAACTGCAAAAGCTCTTTTAATACTAGCTGTCCGGTAAATTCCTTTGTCTTTCATTTCCGTCCTAACGCCCTCTATCGAGGATTCCTTCCTTACCATCACGAGACATTTGTGGGATCGTAAAAAGCTGAACTAAAATTACGAAAATTCTTTCCGATAACATTTGTAGACAAACGTTATCATTTAAACGAGAACACAGCCTTGGGCAATATGGCGGATATATGGCGTCGAAAAATTAGAGTATAATCGCGCGTCGCTAGAACCACCGACGCCGTTCGATCGCAGTTTTAGGACATGTCTTACTCGAAATATTACCCATACGTTCCGAATTATGTTAGCAGAGGCTCGTAGAAGTTTCGTGGACGGATTAAGCTCAAAAATCCTCTTTACGAGTAGCTCGGCGAGAGCGACTCTTAATTCCTTCGGGCGGGGTCCGTTAATGTTCGAGCTTTTTCACGAGCTTTTAGCGTTTAACTCGGAGCACTTGCGCCCTAATGGCGGTACTCGGCTTGTTAGTCGAGACAAGCTTCACCTTCGGTAGTAACCAAGAGAGTTAACGAACCGAACGCTAATGCGACATGCTGAAAGCTGCGCGCCGAAGCGCGCTATATATTATAATCCGAAACGTGTCACGGAGAGAGATTCGATCGGAAATGCCGAAATAAATTGATAAACGGGAATTCACTGTACACTAAACGCAGAGACGAAAGGAAGCCGACATTTTTACTAGTCAAAAAAAAAAGTAGGGATTTTTCGCAGTTCAAAATTCTATCTGAAATGATCTGTGGGCGTCCTTAGTAAGCGTAAGTCTTTGCAGAGTATTACTCAGGCCGGAATCTGTCCTGGTATTTTTTTTCTTTTTTTTTTTTCATTGCGAGAAAGGCGACCTAAAAGGGGGAAACGAGGCGTCTCGTGGCGTATTGCGCAAACTCAACGTATTCGACTACATACCCCGTACATACCGTATGTACGGTACCACGTAGACGACGTACTATAACGCAATACTCAATGCTGGAGGAAAACAAAGACACACCATCCCCGAGAGTCGCGATATCGAACCCCTGAACCGAGGAGCCTTATTGAAAGGAGATACGAAATCCTGGGTTATGAAAAGAGGCATTCGCGAATAGAGAAAAACTGTTTTTGCCGGGATGTAAAATCCTTGGGGCGACAAGGAAGTACCATTTTCGCCGCATTTTCAGCCCTGGAAAACCCGCGACTTCGCAGCACATCGACGTTAATGCAGCCCTCGTGCCTCGGGGGTTCCCTCGGAAAAGGAGAAAAATATGTTTTGGGGATTTGCCTTTTCCTCGTTTATTCAGCCGGGTATGCCAGAGGAGCATAAATTTCGCCCCGAAATACTGGATGAGACGCGAAAATGTGACTCTTCTTCTTTCTCTTGCATCCTGGCCCTCGGCAGTCCTACGATAACGAGCTACACTTCTGCACTGGTGCACTTCTGCGGATAAAAACGGAACGCGATCCTCGGCAGCTCCTTCGCGACACTAATGCGGTCATTGTTCCCGAAAACGTTTGTTTCCTGCTTGAGAGGAAGAGGAAAGAGGAAGAATGTGCTTCAAGATGCTCCGAGGTCCTTCGGGAGTGCAAGAGTGCATCCTCCTTGTCAACATTGAACAACTCTACAAAAACACCTCCGTGTAAAAAACCTCACCAAGCCCAAGCTAACAAAAGATATTGTAGTTTTAACCTTATTTATGTATTTTATGAACATATGATGTATGAATTTAGTACGTAAATGTATATAGATTTATCCGCACAATTTGTGTGTAATTATAGTGCGTGGATGTTATGAATATTTTCCTTTAAAGTGTGAATTTCTCCGTTTGAAAAATAAATTCGAAGATGGCGCGAGATCCTCCAGGAATCCAGGTCCGGTGCACCGTGGGGGGATTGCTCGTCAACTTTTTGAAACGATAACGAGGACATCGAACGTGCATCTCCTAAACGCTACGTACAACACTTCATTCGGTGGGTTCAACGATTCGCTACTCTCGTAATCCTCAGGGTCGAGGATAATGGCGGCGATACAGCGTCCCGTGCTTTCGCAGAAACGTCGAGCATGCCTCGCTAAGCATTTTGAAAGGCTGGCTTGAGGTTTTTTAATTTATCGGAGGATCGGACTCAGAAGGGGACAAAACTTGCTGCCGCAGCACACTCGTCCTCTGGTGCAGAAGTCAAACACGAACCGCTAGACGCAACGGAACAATCGCTGCCTCGTAAGTGCGATTTTCTGAGAGACTGAGACAAGTCTCTCAGGAAACGAAATTTACACGGGGTCCTTAATCTTACCAGGAATCGACTTTCTTCTTCGCAACCTCGTGCCAAAACGTGCATCGTTTCCCCCTCGCCTACTTCAACCTCCCTGAATACATATACATGCATTATGCAAAATGGATCAGGAGATTTGCGGTAATATTTCGTACTACTCTGTTTTTATACATACAATAAATTACAGTCGATCAAGAGGGGCGTTACTACATATACATTGCTCACAAGTGTTCTCGTGAATGGCGGTTCATTTATTTCGCGAGATTCCCGGGAGATTGATGTGTTTTTTAGGCAGGGAGGGGATTCCCCCCTTGCTTACGTGTATTGTCGTCCCTGTTAGTGGAGGTCCTTTATTTTCCGCAAAATGGCGACCCATGGTTTATATTTCTGCACCAGTGCGAAGTTGTAGGCCACTGTGAGGTGCTTTTCCGATACGTGGTATCGGTTCTCCCTGGAACTAACGTGACCGGCCCAAGTTAGTGTGAGGTCATGCGAGGGATTGCAAGGTGTCGGTGCACCAGACGCCATCGATCTTTACTACCTCCACACTCCATTTTATGTTGAGGCTACCTTGGGTTCGTCCGCCTCGTATCTTGG